CCCACAAACTCTAATAGTGGTGGAAAAACTGTTGAAATTGAAGAGCGACAAATGTTTGACTAAAATAAGCAGTTTTGAGGTTTTAGAGGTGACGTACAAGCGTCATTGATTGCACAGGTTGTTACATGGGCTGGCAGACTACTCTAGAGTCTGGGGGCAATAACAGCAAAGCCCTTTAGTTTCTCTGAGAGAAGTTATTGAGAGGAGGACCTATGTGACCTGGAGGGAAAAATGAATTGTGAAAACAGCATTAGATATGTGGACATGTTTTTGTTGCACTCTCTTTATTGGTCATGACTTGCTCCCTCTGTTTTTACATCCCTCTGATTTGCCCTGAAAACTAATTACAGTAAATGTCAGCCAAGTGATGGGATTTGTGGTGATTCTTAGAACTTAAACTAGAAAGACTTCATTAAAGCTGTGAGAGTTTGACCGTGTTGTCACTGACATGTAATGATCTTCATTTCTTTATGTGTGCTTCTAGGTGGTCCTGAACTGGTGGGTTTAGAGGAGGTGGTCCAGCTAGATGAAGTGGAAGGCAGGGTGGTGAACCTGAGCTGTGAGGCTCTGGGCAATCCACTGCCAAGCATCTCCTGGAACATCACTGGCAGCCAGGTACTTAGTCTGCCTCACAGTGCAAACTTACTTCACAGTGGGAGATGACATTTGTCCTACAATGTTCATGTTCAGTCGAAGCTAGCTCGATTTGTTATGATTGTTTACATGTCACGATGATGCTAGCATTTATTACAGTATTCTCAAACAGCTTTAGTCCAGCTTTAGTTAGTGTGTTTGTGTGTCTCCACAGAGCTGGCATGAAGTGGATAAAAAAACACATAAGCACATGACTCACAGCGTGGTATCGGTCAAAGTCACCTCGGACATCACCGCTGAGTGCAACGTTTCCAGTGACAGGGGCTCTGGCGTCAAGATTTTCAAAATCAAAGCCAGTAAGTGCCTCTCTCTCACTTACACCAGAACACTATAACTATGACTTCATTTACATATATGTTTTCCCAATGCTAACCTTTGCTCCAGCATGCTAGTTTGGAAACTCTCGGTGCTAAAGAGTTTTACAAGTTTTCTTTCATCTTTTAGCTCGTTTAATTCCAGCTTGCATTCCCATTTGACAGGACTGTTACACACAGTGCCACAACTCTTGCACAATATTTGGCTCCTGGCTAATTAAGGGAGTTAAAAAGTACAGCTATGAAGAGGACAGAATTTTCTGACCTCTTCCAGGCAGCATCAGTGCTGAAACTTAAAACTTATTTTGCTTTTCAAGTCTAAATGAATGAACATCATTAGCCCGCCCTGGTTCTAACATTAAATCTTCAAATACATTTTCCATTTACTTACTAGCCGCCTGCTCTGTAATAACTGTGCAAAAGGAAAGATTGGAAACATGGTTTTTCCAGAAAACATTTATTTTCCTAAATCTAATCAGAAGTCATTTGCTCAGTATTCATAATGCTGATTCCTTTTATCCGTGCATTTGGAGAAATGAAACATTTTGTAGAGGCACTGCTGGTGTGTTGATTATGCTTTGTGAATTCACATATGGAGAAAGCCCTCAAACATCTTCTTCATACTTTTTCTTAATCATTAGTAACGTCCCAGTGCACAACGTTAGTGTCTGATTTCCTTCGTATTTGCACATTAAAAATACACGCTTCAAAAACAGGCTGGACTTTCAACATGAATATTATAATAAAAAACAACAAAAAAAGCAATATAGAGAAAATGTGGTACAAATATATGTGGTGATGTTTGCGTGCATACATGTCTGCAAAGAAGAGTCTCAGGGTACCTTGAGATGATATAAAACAAGCAGATGACTTTTCAGTATTAAATAGATTAAATGCATTTTTCAGGCACTTTGAGGACACACCAAAAAATTGATTGTCACATTTTAACCAAACATCACTACTTCTCATGCACTATAATTGTAACTCAGCGTGGGTCTTTCTTATTTGATGAACTTATTGTAGCCCCCAAATCCTTCAAGGTTTGGTGAACTTTCCCTCCTCCTCAGCTCAAGAAGCCAAGGCCTAACATGTCTTCTGGTTTTTTTTTTTGGTTTTTTTTCAGAAGACCCGTTAGGCCAGAATGCATTCATGAGGTGAAGCTATTAACTCCCCCATCCATAAAAAATCAAAAAAACACACCTGCTTTAAATTTGACCAATCTCACCTTTAAAGTCATTTCTTGGGCAGAGCTTCCCAAATCCCTTTCCTCCCTCTTTAAAATCTCTCTCTGGAAGTTAGGTTTGAAGGACAAAGTTACAGGGACTCGAGTAGGATGAGTGATGACTGAAAATGGCTTAGAGTGGTGCACACCACTTGCTCACGTGGTTTCCTCGTGAAGTTTGGTTTTTATAATCTTACCCTTAGCAATTAATTCATATTGCAAATGAATGTGCTGAGCATGCTCCTGACTGAAGGCTTGTACTAATCTGCTCCAGAGCAGGTTAGTTCTAGATTAGGGATAAACAAAGTCAGACTTCTATGTACAGATAGCAAAAGGGTTTAAAATTTTACAGTAGCATTTAAAGTCTCTGTCTGTGTCTCCTTCTGTACGAAATATAGATACAGCTCTATTCCTTGACAGAATAAAGCTTTCTTTTGTTTTGTTGTCCAGTCCACCTCGACAGTCTCTGTGATAGTAAAATGTGTCCTCTTAAGGTACTTGCGGATGTTACATGACATTTGTGACACGGATGTTACACAAAGGCTTTATGATGACACCTCGTATCAGACTTAATTTGAATGAATGTCAGTGGTAATGATTGTTAAGAGGTTTAGACCACAGTAAATACATCACACCTTAGTTTATCACATAAATGCAGTGATTCTTACCTATTTTGGCCTCTCAGAAAATTACACGTCTCCCTGTGATTACTGATAAAAAGGTTCTCATGGATTCTTGGATATCATGGATATTTTCAAACATATCTTTGAAAAACCAAAGTATTTCTTTCTTTCTTTTTTTAACATCTCTTTAAGTCTTGTGATTGCTTGAAGGCTGCTGCATTAAACCTCAGATTTAGATCGAAGTAAAAGAAAAAAAAAAGCACATTCAGTTGAATAAAACGAAAGAGGCCTGCAGCTACCAAACTGAACTCAATAATTGGTAGCTATGTTTTAAACAATATCTGAAACTTTCCCTTGTTCCAGCTAATAAACTGATCTTTGTTTAAATGATCAAATATCTAACAAGTGAAAAATCCCTGCTCCGGTCCAAGGAGGAGACACAAATCCCTCGGGGTATGTGTCGAGAAGGGCATCTGGCGTAAAAGTCTGCTAAATCAAATATGTGGAGCTACCCGCTGTGGCGACCCCTTGTGAATAAGGGAGCATGTCAAAGTAGCTTTTTGAACATCTTTGAGTGACTCATTATTGATTCTTTGAAAAGTGCTTTGCATGCTTCAGAAACTTGTGTTACACAGTGCAAGTAGATTTTTATAATAAATGAAAAGAATCCAGTTAAATCTGAGTGTCTGTGTGTGCTCTGCAGATGTTGGTAGACATGAACAGCTACCCGCTCTAAGTTTTGTTCTACTTGTTCACAGTTCCCAGGGTCACCACAACAGCTCCCTTCACTCCTGGTAAGATTATTGCCCTTCAGTCTCTTCTTGTTAAAGACGCCTATTTTTCTTTCATTCAGTTTCTATCAACTTGTGTCTCAGTTTACACGCTTTTGACTTAAGTTTTGTGGGTGACAGTGAAGGGTTGGATGAGTCCATACATTATTTATCAATCCTTTTCAGTGACTCGATACGAGTCCTGTCTTTGGTTCGCTGGCAGATCTTTGGGATGGCCTGTGGGCACATTAAATATTCTGTTTGATATAGACTAAAAAATCGTAACACCAGCAAATTCAAGCACAGCAGAAGCTAGAATGGTACGTAGACCAAACACTCTGCCCTGGTACAAATACTATTTATTTATACCAGAATTTTTAAAACAAACAAAATAACTTATTAAACACTAAAAACAGACACTGTCTCACTTTTACTAACTTTTCCAGACACCCCTCTTGTTTTACAGCAGATTTTTACATACCTGGAAAATTTGCACTTATTTGTGGCGAGGGGCATTAAAGTAATTTTCTGACGTTATCTGAGCAGTCACTGTTAAACCTTCATCGGCCCTATGGGCCATACAAAGGAACCAAAACAACAGTAAAAAACCCAGTGTGTGCTCCATTTAGGGTAGAGTGCTCATAGGAAGTAAATTCTTGTTTACTTTTATTTACTGCGTTATCGGGAGCTGTAGTTATCTCACATGGAGATTGGCTGGACTCAAAATACTGCAGTTATGTGTATTTTTAGAGTGAATTAACACTATGCACCGTGTTTGGTGTGCTTCTCAATTTTTATATGGATTCAGGACACTCGTGGATATTTCAGTGGATGAAATGCAAAAAAATATCATGACCTTTGAATTCTGACTGTGAAGTGTGAAGTGTATCCACGGGTATAAAAACACCTGAAGAAGCCCTCAAAACTAACTTCTTAGTAGTTCTCCCTTACATTGGATGGCTTTGGATGCATCTTTCTCTAGGAAAGCAGAATAGAAAGATAATAGTATCACTTTATTCTAATCCTTCTGCCCATGTCACCTCTCTGTCCATGTCTTTGCACGCTGAGTGTCTCATTCACATTGTTTGTGCAAAATTATGTTTCAGTGCCAAAGGTTATATATAGCCTCTCATCCCACGCACCTATGCAAAGGTTAAGAATTCTATTAAAGAGGCTATTAAGCCACTTGGTTAAATTTGTAGTTTTTACGTTGTCGTAGATGTTGTTGTTGTCGTTGTTGTTGTCGTTGTTGTTTGGAGATAAACGTGACACAAAGAGCTGTCATCTTTATTGCAATGAGTATATATTCAGAAGGCTTAGAGCAGTGCAGTCGAGGGAATTTATACAAACTACAAAATTTATTTGAGATTTAAACTGAGAAATTTGGAGTTAGATTTGGGAACACATGACTGTGGAAGCGTTTAATTGTTTTTTATTTTATTAAAAGAACAGAAAATGCAGATCATTTTATAACCACCTGGCCTTGTTGCTAGTTTTGTAGTCATAGAAGACCTGGACAATACAATGAACTGACACAGAGAGACTACACAGATATACCAGTGGCTGTATGACATGTAGTAAAAGGTTTTTTAAAGACTTTTGATTAAAAGGAAAAGATGTAAGCTTTTGTACTACATATTTATGCATCAGATAACGATTGTTGCTATTGTGAGTTACAAATACACTAAAATTAATGAGTAACAGGGCTGTGGGATGCCAGTGATGGCATGGTGCCTCTGTTTCTGATGCCTTCAGTGCCCACTGATTGGACTATGCCTGCCTTCCCTTTTATTTCAGCTACTAAACCAGTAAAGTTTTATCACTGCATCACTATTCCACTAACAGGATTGGTCACAGACAGACCAGCATATAAACACCCCCAAAGTACTTAAAACAACATTTGTGATAGTTACCTCTACATGAGGTGTCTAAGACATTTTTTGATGATGGCATGCAACCAGGCAAGTCTTATGAGGTGAGAAAAAGCCATCAAGGAATGAATGCTATTTCGGACTTGAAATGACACATTGAGTCAAAATGCAATATTACCCTGGAAGAATTTGTTTTTCCTTTAAAATATTCATATTATTTCCCACCAGTCTATTACTTCTTACAAATGCTGTTCCAGTAGACTTCGACGTGATAATACAGCTCCTCTACATTCTGGATGGATAATGCAATTCAAATGAAGTCAATTATTAGGGCTACGGGTCACAGATGCTGAGCAAAATAAATGATGATTATAAATGAATGAATAAAGGATTTTTTATACAGTCCTGCTGCACTGCAGCGTCCACTGCCAGTTAAATGATAGAGACAATATAATAGACATAATTTCACAGTCAGTTAATTATTTCTTACGCGTAAAGAGAAGAACTTTGTTAAATAAACTACTTTGTAGCAGAGCAGCAAGTAATGCAGTATGTAAATACACCCCATTATACTTCCTTATAGTTACAGGGTTTTGCAAGAGATAAGTTAAAGAGAAGAATAGTAGAAAACGCTGCCATTACAATAATGTTTACACTTTAAGTCCCTGGTAGAGCTTTAAAATTCACAACACCACACATGTGACACCGTCTTTCTGTTTCATATTCATGTTGTTAAAGTCTAAGCTGTACAAGCTCCTCCGGCGACTGCAGTGATGTTATGAAACAGGCACGAAAGCACTGAGTGATTTAAAGTAAATCATGTATCTTCAGTGAAGTGTGATTGTTATGTGCAGGTTGAACCAGTAAACAGAAACGTTATTGATAAAGTTAACTAGGTTAACCTGATTAACCTTTTAGATGAACCTATGATCAGTGTGTCCTCTGTCTGTGTTTTTGTGACGCAGAGGGCAGTGGGGTGATCATTGTAGTGATCATAGTGTGTCTGCTGCTGCTGGCCTTCCTTGGCAGTGTAATCTACTTCCTGCACAAGAAGGGAAAAATCCCCTGTGGACGCTCTGGCAAGCAGGAGATGTAAGTATTGTCTCTACTCATTCTGCTTAAAGGTGACCGATTGTGCTCATTCTTACACTTAAACTTTCTAACTTGCTGCCCATGGCAAACAAAACGTAAGGTGGAGCTTCTGTGCTCACGGGCATCACATGTCCCTGATATTAGTATATTAGCAACGTCTGCATCATAAAGATAAAAGAGTTGAAAAAACAGGCTGAAACAGGCTATCTAGAGCAGTCTGAAGCCTCCAGCTACTCTGTGAGGGCCAGATTTACTAAATAGGCCCTAGAGAGCATTGACAGGTGTGGCTAGTTTTCTGGGTGATTTATAAAAGTTGTGCTGCTTTCTAACACCCAGGTTGTTTCTTTATCAATATAAAGCACAAAACATGCTTTTTCTGTGTTTAATATCAACTCAATTAAATTGCACATCGTAGATGTTTGTAAATCAGTTTGTGCACTTTATTTAAATATTTTTCTCCCTATATTTTGCATCTTGAAAAGGGAACTGACAGGGATACATTTGCAACAGGGTCACGGTCACGCAATCGTGCCACTACGCTGCCAACAATATTTTTTACGCCTGCATCCAGTTTGCACTGTTGCAACGTGTTAGTAAATGTGTACACTATATATTTTTTATTATATATTTTTGGGTTTACACTCTCGCCATTTATCTAGCCATCCATCCATTTTTTCTTCCAAATGATTAAGTAACACTGTGATTTTGGCTCTCTAAAACACATGCCTGCTAGGTTAAGCAGTGATTCTGAATTGGCTGTAAAGTGAAGTGCTTCAAGTGTAAAAAATAAAGGACTATTTGAGTCATGTGTAAGATTAGTATGGTCTATAAAAGAAGGAAAAGCGGAATTACTGAGTCTATGAAACCAGAGGTAAACTGTCTAAATTGGAATTTGTCATCATACCAAGCCCAGCACTGATGCCTGGGCCTTTAGCCATGACATACATGTCCCAACATCTTTCTGTCGTCAGCACCAAAGAGAAGACCACCAAAGATGAGATTGTTGTGGAGATGAAGACCAACACAAAGAACGAGGAAGCCGTCCTCCTAAAGGCTGTCAACGGAGACAAAAAGGGCCCTAATGACCAGGTAACTATTGTTGTGGATGAACAGTCACAATTTACGCTCAACTTCTATGTATAGCCAGTAATTTTGTGTGAACCATGACTGCAGTTTTCATTTCATCAAACACCAACAACAATTTTTGTAGTGACAGCATTTTTAAAACTGCCATCAAATGCCTTTATTCTGTGAAGATTTAACACAACTGCCAAGGCTGTGACAGTTGAAAATTGTCTATATTGTGGTTAGTTTCACATGTTTGCTAGCTGTTCAGTTAAACTTAAATGTTTGATCCAAGTTAGACATTTGTGCCGTCGCATTCTGGGTAACATTCAGGGCTGCACTGAATGTGTGATAAATATAGAATAACAGTCATGTAGTGCATGCAGCTGGAAACAGGATTTATTCAGTGTGATCACTGGACTGAGAGGAGTATCTGAGAAGCTGACGCTCTCCTCTTTGTCTCCGGTGAAGCCCCTGTGAAGATGTGCAGCAGACAGCAAGATAAATGAAGCCGGCAGTGGGTGTGTGTTGGAACAGCAGAGGCAGGAGACGCTCCCACTGACCTGATACCTGCAGAGTAACACCACCTCACAGTCTGGACGTTCGACCCACCGTGCTTTGTTCACAGCAGTATTCAGATGATCGACACAGAACCGCAACCATACACGCACATTACACTCACACACGCACACACATTAACACACACAGGTATGTACATAGAGATCTGTATTTTCTTTTGAGTGAATGTTTTCTTCCATTCATTAGTTCTTGTACTACTTCCTGAAACTGTGTTCAGCTCTTTGCTGTTGTTCAGTGTGTATGATGGCGTCTTACGTGCATCATGTTATTTTATTTTTTGTTTTTATCAAAGTGTATATATTATATATATTTTGTTATTTAAGGAATTTGGCACTCAGATTTTCATTTCATGTGCATGTTGATCCGTGTTCATGGTTCCAGGTGATGTTTAAGGCAGGACGTGTTGTCAGAGACCAAATGATACAGTCATACTGAGAGGGTGTCAGTGTGTTTGACTTTAAGAAAAGGACGAGTAATTTCAGCCCGAATCGATGATCATCAGCAGGTTAATCCCAACACTAATTTGAGCGTCAAAACGACACGACACACTGGCAGCTTCTTTGGAAACTACTGTCAAGCTCGTGTACTGTTTGTAAATACATGTTTGTACAGACTTGCTAGTGGTGGCCTTGAACTATTACTGAAGGTGAAAAGGTCAAAGGTTAGAGATCTGCTGTGCCTATGTTTTTGAGAATGCATCATACACTGAATTTGTTTGTTTGCTGTTTGCTTTGTGTTTCCACTGAGAGCTAGTTGCCTGAAAAGGCGTCCCAGTGTTTTTGCATGTGTGAGTCCAGACAACACACATGCTGCAGATACTGTTTTCCAGTCTGGCTGCAGGCTCTGCGCTTTTTCCCCCCCCTCAGGCAGCCACACTTTTTGTTTTTGTAGACTTTGAGAAATAATATGCGAAGACCTGAGATTTGAACATTTAGTTTTCTGGTCAGCATTGTGCCAGACTGATTAAAACAATCTTGGCTTGGCATTACCATTAAACTATCACAAACCTTCAACAAAAATAAATTGCAGACATTAAGATTTCTGTTATGGACTGCCAAACTAAAGCAAGTGCTTTTTTTCAAACCTTGAAATGTCAGTCTACAGTTTGTTCAAGCCGTTCTCCAAAATGACAATCTTCAGCAAACCCAGAAGTCTGAAAACTAAACATTACTGATTTTCTGAACATATTTGGAAGACTCTTCTCACAGTGTTTAAAAAAACAATATCCAGAAATGATGAGCTGCTTCTCCTCGACTCATTTGTACAATGTAAACAAGAGTTTATGCCTCCATTCTTCTGTACACAGCAACACGTTGATTTGTTTCTTGAAAAATATCTTCAAAGCTTTTTGAAACACCTTCAACGATTTATATTTCAGTAAGTGCTCAACTCTGTTACTCCCATGTAATTATAGTACATGAGGCAGAAACTGTGGCTAACCTTAAACACTCTGTACAAATGCAGTCCGGCTGCCTGATGAGGGAAAAGAGGCAAAAATATTGGTGCGCTCCTTTTTGTGGCCCAGTGTTGTGAATATTGCTCACTGTGTACATCATTGTGAAAAAGATACACTTTGTTGCTGAGAGCGCTACATTGCCCCGATGACTTGCAACATTAACAAAGTAGTGATGTGTTTTCTGTTATCTGCTTTTGGTTTGTCTTTTTTTGTTCCACTGAGCTGAAGTTGGAAGAAATATCCAGGTACAGGTTGTCCTCAGGCAATAACTGTCATTATGGTTTAGAAAAGCTGCACGAAGCCATAACGCCGACAGTGTCCTGTGTGCAGTGAAACATTTCTGATTCTTTGTTTTGTTGCTCTGGATTTTTTTCACTGGTGGGGAAAAAAATGTTGTGTTCTTTCCTTTTCTCTACATGTGTAAATTGAGTACTGTACATGTGATTCTTTGAGCTTGCATTTTTTTAATATTTTTCGCAAGAAAATAAAGCCAAATAAAGTTTCATTTAAAGTTTTCATTTAAAGTGTTATTACTTTTGCAGAGGTATAAGGGAGCTCTGAAGTGAGAGCCCAGAGGCTAAATATGAACCCCAGCAAATGTGAGCTCAGTGTGTTAGCTCTGCACAGTCCCACAGTGAGAAGACAGGAAGGAGTGCAGCCTCCAAACCGCTGTCAGCACGAACTGGAAGTGACTCCAACAGTAGCTCAGATTTCCAGCTGGAGTCTGGAAGGAGGCAGGTCAGAAAACAAAGCTCACATCTGCAATGAATTCAGGCAGCGTTAGCTCATGTAGCTGCAAATCAAATCAGCCATTCTCTCTTCATCTAGTGTAAAGCCTCCAAAGGAGACGCTGCCACCATGATTACGACTCGGTACTTTGGCTTTGTCTTGCATTTATGCTGCTTGGATGGATTGCTGCCTGTGACGGGTTTTTTTGAGGGAAAAGAGCAAAAGTACATCATATTTTCTACACTGAAAGTTTGTGCTTTAAGCATTTAGTGTTTATTTAACAGTGGGGGAACAACACATAGGAACCCAGTGAGCTGGTTTGTTTCAGAGGTTCTTAATAGGTTTGATGTCTGAGTGTAAATTCAGAACCCAAATCAGAAATAAATTGTGTGTGATTGGGTGCCTCACAGGAAAAATGCACACTGAACATTTTAAGAACAGTGTTAGTTCAGGCTGTGATGGCTCAGCCGACACCCTTTTACACATCCAATAGGCATCTCTCACACAGATTGCAGTATTTAACCTGCTCAAAGCAAGCTACTTTGCAACCCACATCAGCTCCTCTGTTTCTCAAATACAGTTGAAGATCTAAAACAAACACCTTTTGTCAATCTTAGCCATACTTACGGGATGGCAGAAGATTCATCATGCAATTTTTCCCCCCATTTTTCCCCAGAGTTATCCCCGCAGTGTACAACGTTGACAGGTCAACAACAGAGATAAAGCCATTTGCACAAGAGCAATGTAGAATCACTACTTAACATAACCCACTAAGTGGATATCTTTAGGAAGCTAGAGTACTCAGAACCCCTGGAGACATGAGGAGAACCTGCAAACTCCATGCAGAATGGCCCTGGCCAGATGGTGGATTTAAACCACCCCATGAAGTACAAAAGAAACTGAATGAATGAAATGTGCAGCCGTTGTCATGCATACCTTTATACACATGTAGGCTGCTGGGTATAATGTTACAGGAACGTTTTCTAATGCAAAAAACTGACAAAGCCATATTATAACTTTGTCTAGATAATAAGCAGGAGGCAGGTGTTACTCATGGAAAAAGACTTAAAAATGTTATTTAAGATAAATCTCAGAACCTCGACGAGTAAAACCAAAACTGTCTGCATGCAGAAACAGTGGAACTTGTGTTTAAACATGTGAGAACCTAACTTTTAAAACATGTATTCACCTCCAGTGTCCCATAACTGTAACATAATTCATAGCACAGTGGTCGCAGCTCACCTTTAGATTAATAAGTTACCTGCAGTGACTCTACAGTCGCCTTCAACTCTGCTGAACCCTTTTTGATCTTTTAATTTGTCGAGTACACTCTCATTAACCTCGCTTCAGGCAGAATTGTTCAGTAATTGAGTCTGATAAAAGCAGACAAACCAAGTTCTCTAGCAGTAAACAAAGGAGAAATAGCAGCTCCTCCTGGAGTTTGTGGAGAACGTTGGCTTTACTTTCAGCATGTAGCCAGAAACACAACCGCTAATGAATGCAGAATAATGCAGCAGTAAATGTTTGGAGACCCACTACGTTTACAAATGTGATGCACTGCAGATGACAGTCTTGCAGCGCACTGTGTCGAGTCTTAAAATTGTTATTGCAGGATCGTTTCATTAGCGTGTCCCATAAAGTTTGATAAATGCAAATAACCTGATGCTCAAACACATTAATAGAGAATCTGTTTGCTTATGTTTAGTGACAAACCACACAGATCAAATGTTAAAGAAAATACAGTTTAATTAAAAATCTTAATGGCTTAGGCATGAAAACATTGTAACACAATGAATGCCGAGGATATTAAAAACAATAAATAAAATATCTACATAGACAATAATAAAGCAATGAAGACAGTTTTTTTTAGTAGGCAAGTTCCTGTTGAGAAGGCTAGTTAACATGAATAAAGCGCACGCACACACTCCTTGTTAATCAGCGGATCAGAACCAACACACCGGCCGAGGTTACCGGCGACACTGAGAGAAAGCGTGTGAGACGGAGGAGCCTCTGGCAGTGATTCAGCAGGACAAAGAGCCTTGAGTGCGTCCATCACACATCAGGACTACAACAGTCCTGGAGTTAGTGCCATTTAGTTGGTTGCCTTGATACAAAACGCCAAGACTGGGTGAAAACAAAGCTGAGGGGACTGAAGACACATTCGTGGTCTCTGTTCTGGGGCAACTCGAGGAAGATGAGGAGGAGGAGCAGCGCACGCACACGTTTTAAGATTCTTTTGGTTTGGGGCGATTAAAGCTGCAACATTTCTGTGGCATCACAGACAGCCAGAAAACAGCAGGACAACTCCAGGGTATTCTGGGTTCTTAACAGGATTTACTGGGTTTTTTTCCTCCCCTTAGCATCAGATTTAGAAATTTAGCAACATTTCTTTTCATTTAGTTCCGTTTGAAGTATTAGGTTTTTGCACTGTCTCCAAATCCAGCAGCACATTTATTGGGGGGGGGGGGATCCTAGTGTCTGATAATTACTAGAAACATTTTTCAGATAAAGTTCATGTTTAATATAAGTCAATCACCCTTTGCCCTTTCACCCAAATCAGGGTTAAAGTTTGTTATTTTGACTGTAAAAAGTGGAGCTCTCTCTATTCTGAAACACTTTTAAGTCAGTTAAATTTTTTTAATCTAAAAAGGTAAATTTGCATAAACTGTAGTTCTGATATAGTGTTACCATGGTGAAATCAAGAGAGCGCTTGACCTGAAAACAATCTGCAGTAGTTTCCAACACATTTAAATGGTGAATGTGGAGGGGTTATTTTGGCTTGCCTGCTGGCATGTGCAAGTTGTGATGGACAGAAGGCACGTTTACTGTACATGTCGCTGCGGAGGAATGAAAAGGTGACCAGCTGACAGTGAGCTTCCTTTCACAGTCAGGCTCATTTGATTAAACTGGGTTCTTGTCATCTACCTTTAGGACTTGTAAGAACAACAACAAAAATCAGCCTATGGTTTAAATAATATTCATGCAGAAAAACATAAATGTTCCAGATGTTGCAACTCTTTTTGTGTTGCGTTTGGATTCAGATCAGATCACTGTTCTCCTTTAATGTCTTTAATCTGAATCTTTCTTTAATTTCTTAAGTAGACAAACCAACAGCCCTCATGCAGGTATGACGCTGAATACCACCGATGGGCTCATCTCAGACGCTATAGGTGTGGTGCCTGGAAGTGGCAGCCGCTGAATTTTTTGGTCCATTGACAAGAAAATATAACCTGAGAGAAATCCAAACCTTTAAAGGGCTTTTTACGTGTCAATTTGGATATTTTATTGGCGCGTTAAGGACCTAAGGTCTCTGTGCACTGAAAAGCAGCAGTTCATAAAAGTATGTATGGGAAGAGTGTTGATCTCACCAGATGTTTACTTCTTAGCAGCTTTTAAAGAGGAGAAAAGGGGAGTAAAACTACACAGCAGCGTACATGAATCAGCGAAGCTGCACATGGTCACAGCAGGAATTTGGAGAAAGTCCCGTATCGTCAACTCAGACATTTTACAGGAAAGCTAGTATTTGTAATGGATTGCAACACTACAAGTATTACAATCTAAGTTCATCCTTAGTGGTGGTACCAGAGTTTCGGTGTGATGAAGAGCACGCATGCTTGAAATTTTACGCGAAGAAGTTAACGTGTTAGTAAAATTGGAGCAGATTGTTGATTTCTTTGTTTTTTGTACCAAAGTTAAAATAGAAGTCAGAGTCTACGAGTCCCTGTTCAAAGGTTTTGTGACAATTTCAAGCCAATTTATTCTGGGCATTTATTCCCGACCCATATAGGATGAAACAAAACTGATATTTAGTGATTTAAAAATCTGATATCAACAGTTTGTTTTTCTTTCAGCAGCCGAAATAACAAAAAAAAAATTGTTATGCATAGTTATTTCTGAGTCTATACACACAAATACAGACAATGCATGTCATAGATCATTTACTCTCTCACTCTGCTCAGAACATTCCTGTTGCCAACAGGGAAGTTAGAGTGCCCTCTGGTGGAAAACTACGAAACATCACGGATAAATCTTTGAAGGATGTTTCGCTCATCTAGTCTTTTCGTTTTAATTTTCATTTAGTAGCAGTTATATAGTACCAAGAGTGAAATATACCTGCAAATAGCTCAAATCAGCCCCCCAAAAATTGGCTTTCTAAGTTTGAAACTAGTGATCAGCAGCGTGTTTAGTGTTACCACTTGCGCATCTAGAAGCTGGCTATACAACACGTTTATCAGACCACCATCCAATGTAAGGTTTGTGCCCCAGCTGCTCTAAATGAACAGTGTTAGTATTTATCGAAATCATCTCCATACCAGTTAATCCACCAGTATAAACAAGCTATTTGATTGAAATTTTATTTTTAATGCTTGAATATAATTATTTTTGTTGTCCATTAATTTGGTTTAAATACAATTTTTATTTTTTATTTTTAATTAAGATGCCACATACTTATTTTCTTGCATTCTTGCACAGAAAGTTTTTACTGGCTCACTGCTATGCCTGAAAAACATGAATTCTGTTCATTATTAACATTATAACTAATAATAAAAAAAATTGTTTTAAAAAGTTTTTACAAATTTCTAAAACATGTTTTAGAAATTTGTTGGCATTTGTGACAGCTGTAATGTGTTGTAAATTGCTTTGACGGATTAATACAATCCTGAGATTTTTGTTGCCTTTCCCCAACATTCCTCCCATGAAGAGTTTTATGAACTGCAGAGTGACTGAAATCCACAAAATGGTCATGCAGGACTGTGGACAGATGGAATTACCGCAGCTACATTCGAGTCATATCCAGAATTTAAAGTTAGAGGACGTAAACGAGCTCATCGAAGAATCAGAAAACAGATTTTAATATCTTAACTATGGTAGCTATATGTAAATATGCTGCAGGAAACCTAAAAATATAAAGAAAATCCACTCTATGGAATGTCTGTGAGGATGGAGGGAGCGTGTCCTTTAGCATCTGCTCGTTACATATAACCTGGCTTATTACTGAGTACCTGAGTCCACGTGACTTCACCCCACTTTCAGTTTTTTGTTTTTTGCTTTAGGCTTTAGAGTTAGATGTGATTTCCCAGTGAACTGAGTGAAGCTGTTCTAAGAGCTTCTTTCGGTTATTAACTAAGAAACTACGAGCGTAGAGAGAAGCTTTCGACTAAATAAACCAGCCTTCAGTGTCGGGCCACCTCTAGCGGTGGCAGGAAACGATGGAATTAAAAAGAACTCAAACTCAGCCATTGTTAGTACTACGCACACCACAACACATTATGAGAGTACTTAAACATTAAATTTGTTATTTCATCATAGAACTATCACCGAACCTGGAGCTGACAGACGGCAACTGAATTGTGTTCACCTTGTCAGATACCATCGAAAACGGAGCGAGCCACAGCGACGCGTACGACATCGAAGCCCTGCAATACTGCACCGCGACTACACGTTCACATTCATCAGCACGAGCACGACTGCCACACAGTTAATCACCAGTTTCAGACCGTATCGCTACATATTCGTACGCCACGATTTGCAAAGAAGCCAGTAAAAGCACCAGACCGAGCGGCTGCAGGCAGTGGGACGCCCAGTCGGACACCACTATGTGCGGGGTACCTTCGCTGAACAAAGTCTGCACGGCTTTAACACTTAGCTTAATGAGAGCGTGCACGCAGACTGAGGGGGGACACTGCCGCAGCATGTAACTAACTCAGCGAATCACAGCAGGGCCACAGCAAGCCCATTTTAAAGGCTCAGATTCTCCATTTATGCTGTGTTCAGGTCATATCGGACTTACAGTTGACCTCTCACGTTTAAGGCCAAAACCCTCAATCTCCAAATGAATATTACAAGTAAAAGAGATTCTGAGACTGTAACTTCAGCCACTTGACATCGTCTTTAACAACAGTCCCCCCCCACCCCACGTTGCGGTTTTCCCACTACAAATGACTTTGGATGAGATATAACATGAACGCAGCATCGTCCCTCACAGTAAAGCCTTCTGAAAGTACTTGTGGCCCTGCAGGAAAGTGCTTTGTAAATGATAATGGCACAGAGTGGAGAGAGACGAGACAGAGGATGAGCAAAGTGACTATGTGGCGATGTGCGCTGTGGAAGGGATGGAGACAAACTCGCGCAGGATGTTCTTAGCCGTCTCGAGGTTGTTCTGAGCGATCATCAGGGCCTTCTGGATGTCCTGGATGGAGTAGCCTTGGGATATGAGGCATTCAATCTCCCCGTTTAGGGCCAAGCTTCCAGGACCTGAAGGAGGAATAGTCGGAGGTGGAACAGGGGAGCCAGATGAGGAGGGGCCAGGGAGGTCTGGCGGCGGCGGAGGTGGCTCGCGGTTTAACGGACGAGGCCGTCGATCAGAATTGGCTCGCCGCGGGAGAGGTTTTGGGGGACGTTCGGGATCGCCGCCTGCTACAAACATACCTGAAACAAATGAGAGAAAATGAAAGAAAAATAAGAAACGTGATGAGTCAAATACAAAATAAACACGTTAAATACACATTTACATTCACACATGAGCACTGACGAGTAGATGATTTGTGGGAAAAATAATTTAAAATTTCCCTTTATAACCAGACATTTGCTAACCTGAAACATCTGAGAAACAGAAACATTTAAGAAGTCCTTAAAAACTGTTAAAAGTATCCGCACTCTGAAAAAACTAAAACACTGGATAAATCATCTGTAACAGTCTGTGAAAGGCAAAGAAACACAGCATGCGCCACAGAAATAAAACTTGCAGGAAAAAGGCCTTTAGGTTATCACTGACATTAAAGTTCTGGCTTCAAAATAACTGTTACCAAGCAAACTGCAAAGCAGTGACACTTGCTCCTAGAACGAATGTGGCTTCCTAACAGAAGGCTGATTGGTCCAAACTACCTGTAGTTCATCTAGAAGCACATAGCTTCAAGCCTGGCACGATGGATTCTGTTGCAACTTTGACCTCATGAATCGCCTGAGCAGTTTCACAAGCTGGCCCGACATGCAGCATGTTGTAGTTAGAGTATCTATGAAAGCAATTTCCATCACTGACTTCAGTGTGGTTAAAGCAGTAATTTGCTGAAGCCAAAGTTAAACAAGAAGTTTCAAGTTACATTCATGTAGCCTAATTACTTCTCAAATTAATATTCATTTGTCCACCACTACAGAGTCTAACTAAGACTACTTTTCTGTTTGGACTTTTTGATTTTTCTTTTTGTGATTAGCTTCAATGCCAAAAAAATTGTTTGGCACTTTTTGTTTTATTTCCAGCCTGAGGAAAAATGCTCAATAAAACAACATTAATAGCGTGGACAACAGCCTGCACACGAGAACTGGATGTCACCGGTTTGTTCGTGCATCATCTTGAAGCCCCAAGCTGAGCATACTGGTGATCACTATTAAAATAGAAATCACGCTGTGTTCAGTACGACGTAACGAATGACCACAACTCCCTTTTTGAAACCAGAAATTTCGCCACCTGCTGATCATTAGAAATTAAAAAAGGGGGGAGAAAAAAAAACAAAACAACAAAAAAACCCACACATACTGGGATCTACTGCAGAGTCTATGTTGAGATTACTGAAGGCTGAAGAAGGGCCGCCGATATCTGACAGAGCTCTTCTGGCGGGGGCAGGAGGGACCACTGGTCTGGGAAAGTCATACTCGTAAACATCCTCCACACTGGCCTCCTCCTTTTTGTCCGGCGGAACAGCTGAATGCTGAGGAAGGTCTTGGAGGAAAAAAATGTAAATAAAAATGAGGTTTTACACTTAATTCTGTGATGTCAGTTTATCCACTACTACTAGAACAAATAGTCTGATTACTGTTAGTAATCCACAATGATCAAGCACTTCCCATACCCAGCTCAGAGTTCTGTGTCGTCTCCGACGAGCCGGCCTGGGCCTGGATGTTACACATGGATTCGTAAACCTGGGGGTCCTCAGAGTCACTGTCCCCCACCTCACTGCAGGCACACAGCGAGACGGAGAGAGATAGAGGAATCATTTAAAGGGGAACAAACTGTGCTCATTTTCATTTAAAGAATCTTATTCTTGGACTCAAATAGTTTTCCATGATTTTAAATAAATAAATAAATAAATAATGCCATTTATACTTTCAGGCCACCGTCCCCTTAAAGTCAGTTTTCTTCTGATAGGATGCCCCTTGCAAACAGCAGGTTTGAACTGTAGGTGGTTGGGGACAGAGCGGTGTGCCTGGAAAGTCTGCATCCTGAGCTGACTAGCAGGGCTTATTTGCAATTACACTTAACTCATAATCTGAAATTTTGTCTAGTTACCATGGTAACACTACATGACCAAAATAAAAAGAAAGGAAAAAGTATTAGAAGCAGATTTTGAAAAGGGCCATTGTTGGCGATCCTTTATGCCTGACTCTTACACAAACTAATCCTCACAGAGAAAGTAATATTCTCAATGACTGAATCTACACTTTGTAAGCTAAATCACCAAACCTCTGATCAAAAACTCATCATTTCAGTGTGCTAACATCACAAATAGACCGCTAAACATCTAGCTCTGCTTCAAACAAAAATCCACCAATCACACAGAGGTATGAATGCTTCCAAATATTACACATTTTAAGCCTAATTAGTCATGCATGGACCCAGCGAAGGCATCTTTGTAGGCTCACACCACAACTTTCAGCTCTCGAGTTTTAAAATTTAAGCAGATTTCCTATCCATTCGAATTCCCTACATTTTAGACACTTTCATCATTTTAATCAAAGAGACAAGCTGAGATGCAGCTGCCGTCATCTTCAAGCAATGCCCTTTAAATTATTTAAGGAGGTGAAAAACAGCAAGTAAGTGAACGAGAGTTCTGTCTAAGGAATGGGAACCTCGAGAGCCCCCTGCTGGACAAAATACACAGCATCAGATTTGAGGGTTGCATTACTGTGTGTCAGACTATCCCTTTAACTTGTTTATAGACCAACTTTCTCACTTTTCACTCGACAAACTGTTTGAAATTCACTTGTAACCTTTCCCAGCGAGATTTTTCTCTGCAATTCACTATACAATTACATAACCACACACACAAACACATTTTATTACCTGCCGGAAGGTCTGAGCATGTTTGTTGATCTGCTGGTATTTCCAACAACCCAACATCTATATTTTTCCCTTAAAGACAGCGCCATATAGCCCTGTTCCAAAAGACAGCACACCCCGAAGCTTCAAGTCATCTGACCTGATCTGGTGTAAAGTTCTTCCTTTTACACTATACATACTCCATTAATAAGATGACAGTGGGACCAATTGTGTCATTTTTATGCTCCCTTTGGGTCTGATTTTCTTTCACTTGTAGTCTAAATCCAGTGTTGTCTATTTTTTTCCTTACACTGTGATACTTTCAATGCTGTTAAGCTGTGTTCTTCTTCTGGTCATTGATTATGTTTGGCCTTTAAAAACTGAGTCAGAATACTAAAACTAATCCAGAAACCTAAAAATATGGGAAATAAATAGCCCACATGTTAAGTGTCAATACGTTCCAGCTGCGGAGAAGCCTTTAGAGGTCATTTTCCTGAAAAACATTCTTCTAATAGAAGCAACTTCATCCCCCTTGCTGTTCCGTTTACCTGATGTCATTGTGGTTGTTTCCCTGGGTTGGTGGTGGGGGCACCAAGGAGCCTGTTATTACCCACGGGGCACCGGAAGCTGGAAGGGATGTGGGACTCATGTACTCGTTATCTTCACCGTCTGACGACAGCTTCTCCCCGCTGGACACCGCTGACCCTGGCAACGACCTGAGCAAAGGTAGACATCACAGAGCGTGTTTTTTCTCATCAGTCGTAAATGACAAATTTGAGAAATCCTGAAGGAGACACAAAATGCAAACACACTGACAGTTTTTTTTTTTTACTAGTTCTGGAAATATATGAAAGGCATCATTTTGATAGATCAGAACACTGATGTGAATCTACATTACATCACCAAAACAAATGTTAAGAACGCTGCTGGCAAGGTCGAAGAAAGATGGAAAAATATCCATTCGCTTCTCATCAGTTCTTGGCTCACTACATTATTTCCTGTCTACTACACCTAAGTGCAGCAGAGCTCCGTACCTCGCAGCCAGGCAGTACACAGCATTGATCGCCGTCTGCGGTTTGCTCCCCTCTGCGCCGGCTCCATTGCTCTGAGGGATGGACGACGGGGCCTTCGTTGCAGGGCGTGGCACCATGTAGTTGGCTGCCCAGGCTGGCTGGTCCGGGGTGGAGGGGAGGGGTCTCCTTTGGAGTCTGGATTCCTGGCCGACCAGGGAGGGGCGCTCCGGTGGG